CATCCGAACAGCACGACGTCCCCCCCCTCCCATCCGAACAGCACGACGTCCCCCCCCATCCGAACAGCACGACGTCCCCCCCCCATCCGAACAGCACGACGCTCCCCCATCCGAACAGCACGTCCCACTCCGTCCCAGTGGAGGGGTGAGGTAGCCTGGCTAACGACTGGTAACCTTCCCAGCCCGTTCACCCTCAGTGTTTATACTAGTCCTTCAACCCCCTCATCAACCCCCCCCCACTTCTTACCCCCCCCCCCCTCATCAACTCACCCCCCCTCATCAACTCACCCCCCCCCCTCGAAGGGGGTGGAGGGGCGAGATATACGGATGAAATATATATCCCCATTAAATACGTAAATGTCATTTCATAGGTTATCTTTACACGATTTTGTCCCTCCCCCTCTTGCCTCCCCCCCCCCATTAAGGTTATCTTGAGATGGTTTCGGAGCTTAGCTTCCCCGCGGCCCGGTCTCATTTTTGTTATCCCAGGAAGGGGCCCGTAACAGCTGTTTAACTCCCAGGTACCTATTTTACTGCCAGGTGAAGAGGGGCATCAGGGTGAAAGAAACTCTGCCCATTTATTTCCGCCTCCGCTGGGGATGGAACCCGGAATCTTATGATTACGAATCTCGAGCGCTGTCCACTCAGCCGTCAGTGCAGCCCCCCCCCCGTCTTCTCCCCTTCTCCCGGCCCCTTTTTCCCCCCCTTTTTCCCCCCCTTTTTCCCCCCCTTTTTCCCCCCTTTTTCCCCCCTTTTTCCCCCCCTTTTTCCCCCCCTTTTCCCCCCCTTTTCCCCCCCTTTTTCCCCCCCTTTTTCCCCCCTTTTCCCCCCCCTTTTTCCCCCCTTTTCCCCCTTTTCCCCCCTTTTCCCCCCCTTTTTTCCCCCCCTTTTTTCCCCCCTTTTTCCCCCCCTTTTCCCCCCCTTTTCCCCCCCCTTTTCCCCCCCCTTTCCCCCCCCTTTTTCCCCCCTTTTTCCCCCCCTTTTTTTCCCCCCTTTTTCCCCCCCTTTTTCCCCCCCTTTTTCCCCCCCTTTTTCCCCCCCTTTTCCCCCCCTTTTTCCCCCCCTTTTCCCCCCCTTTTTCCCCCCCCTTTTCCCCCCCCTTTTTCCCCTCCCCCCCACCGCCTGTGTGTGTCTCACAGCCTCGCCGACGCCGCGCTACCTGCCACCAGTCTTCACTACCAACCTGACATTACCTCTGTGCATCACATTATCGCATACATTAATCTCTCTTGCATATGCTCGCACACGCGTCTACCCCCCCCCCCCCCCCCACATCCCTGCAAGATGTCTCCCCCCCCCCCGCCCCCCCCCCGGCCCCGATGTCCACTTCCGTCCATAGTAGTTCCTCATCATTAACCCGCACCCTTCCACACTATCTATTCCATTTCCTCTCAATAAACCCCAGCGCTCCCCCCCCCCCTCTTCCTCCTCCGCGCTCCTACCCAGTTCCATTCCATCACCCCGCCCGGTCCCCGCCCGGTCCCCGCCCTCCGGTAGTACTCCATCGTCTTCTCTGGAGCCATTATTCCCCAGGTCCCTTTCCCGTTATGTTGGTGCCTCCCCTCGTCCCTGCTTCATGTCCTCCCCTCCCCCTGTCTCTACACCTCTCCTGCTCCAACACCTCCCCTGCACCCCCCAATCACCCCCCGCCAGTGTGTCCTCCAGGGGTCATTAATGGCATCATCACGTGACCCGCACTTGCTATAAGGACCCTCTCGCGCGCCTCGTTTGCTCTCCCAGGACGGTCTCCACCACCCCCCGACACCTCTCCCAGGACGGTCTCCACCCCCTGACACCTCTCCCAGGACGGTCTCCACCACCCCGACACCTCTCCCAGGACGGTCTCCACCACCCCGACACCTCTCCCAGGACGGTCTCCACCCCCCGACACCTCTCCCAGGACGGTCTCCACCCCCCGACACCTCTCCCAGGACGGTCTCCACCCCCTGACACCTCTCCCAGGACGGTCTCCACCCCCCGACACCTCTCCCAGGACGGTTTCCATCACCCCGACACCTCTCCCAGGACGGTCTCCACCCCCCGACACCTCTCCCAGGACGGTCTCCACCCCCCGACACCTCTCCCAGGACGGTCTCCACCCCCCGACACCTCTCCCAGGACGGTCTCCACCCCCCGACACTTCTCCCAGGACGGTCTCCACCCCCTGACACTTCTCCCAGGACGGTCTCCACCCCCTGACACTTCTCCCAGGACGGTCTCCACCCCCTGACACTTCTCCCAGGACGGTCTCCACCCCCCGACACCTCTCCCAGGACGGTCTCCACCCCCCGACACCTCTTCCAGGACGGTCTCCACCCCCACCGACACCTCTCCCAGGACGGTCTCCACCACCCCGACACCTCTCCCAGGACGGTCTCCACCCCCCGACACCTCTCCCAGGACGGTCTCCACCCCCCGACACCTCTCCCAGGACGGTCTCCACCCCCCGACACCTCTCCCAGGACGGTCTCCACCCCCTGACACTTCTCCCAGGACGGTC